CGCCTGGGTGGCTTAGTCGGTTAAGCGTCCAACTTACGCTCAGGTCATGATCTCACGGTTCGTGGGTTCGAGCCCCACGTCGGGCTCTGTGCTGACTGCCAGCTCAGAGCCTGGAGCCTGTTTCAGTCTGTGACTCCCTCTCTCTCTGACCCTCCCCTGCTCACGCTGTCTCTCTCTCTCCTAGAAATAAATAAAAACATTAAAAAAAAATTTCATTTCCTGATGCCATGTTAACATTTGACCTATAAATAAAGACACCAAAACCTACAGGACGGAGATGCCTGCCTGGTGATCAGAAAGGATCTCGGGGCTCTCTCACTCTCTCACTCTCTCTCTCTCGCCGACACCGTCTATCCTTCAGGGCCCCTGGACCTGCAGGAGCCGGCCTTCGACAATTCTGTGCTGACAGCTTGGAGCCTGGAGCCTGCTTTGGATTCTGTGTCTCCCTCTCTTTCTGCCCTTCCCCTGTCCGTGCTCTGCCTCTTGCTTTCAAAAATAAATAAACATAATTTTTTTTTTAATTTCCTTCCTAAAACCAGAAGCTCAGAGCTATAGCAGCATTCGTACAATCTGCCAAACCCACCCTGTCTTTCTCAAGAAATGAGCCCAGCTCCTTTTAAGAAACATCAAGTCTTGCTTGTTTTTAGTGAGATGGGATTTAAGTCTTTTTCACATGCTGTTGTTAATCTGCTTTTCCAATTTTCTGTAATCTTCTTTTGCTTTTACTACAAGCATAGGAACTTGCTTATAATTTAAAATATAAGCTGTATCAAAGCAGGAATATGTTTTTGCTTTCCTTGCTGATATATCTGTAGGACTTAGAGAAGTGTATGCCCTGTGGGTAGCTCAAAAGTATTTCTGAAGAAACTGAACAAATGTCATACAATTCAGTGCTAATTTTTCCAAAGATCTGAAAGTACACACATACATTGCACTATATGCTAGGCACAGTGCTGGGGGAGTTGTGTACCCTACTTCATCTAAGTATTATGAAATCCTAAGGGGAAAGTAACTTTCAGGAGAAAAAATACACTACTCCATGTTTTGTAACTTCCAAAGTCAATTCTTAATAGGTGAAGTAATGAATAATTTTAACAGCTGCCATTTCTGGAGTGTTCCAAATTAAACATGTTTGCTCATCCGTACAGTAAACATACCAAGAAGGCACGATTCTTATTTTAAAGATGAGGAAATCAAGACACAGTGAATAAGAGCTCAAAGCTGATGCCCAATAAATCCCCATCGTTCATTCCCTGGCATCAATCTAGCACTTTCTGAACCCTTCAGTGTTATGGTACCTCTTCCATCTGCCATAATGATCTCTTATCTCTCTTCAAGTCCACATTAGTTCTGGGAACAGATAGGAACTTGCTAAATATTTTTGAATGAAGAAATGCTTTTATCCAATGTGTGAGAACCCCAAAGCAACTAAGATTATGAACCTCGCATTCAAGTGGAATAAGATGATTAAAGAGTGTTCAGGACTTCCACAAGTATTGGAAGACTTACAAAATAAGGTGGCCTGTGATCAAACAAATTTCAAAGACAAAGAGAAAACAACTTTATTTATAAGCAGGACCTCTCAGCACCTTTATTTAATACGCAATATAATTCCTATGAAAACGTATCTTAACCAGATTTTCTCCAAATTTGCTTCATTAATGAGCCTACTTTGAGAGTAGCTATTACGTACATTAGTATATGATGGATACCAGTGTCTAGTGTATATGTTTGTAGTGATTTTTTTTTAATATAAAAAAGTTTTCCCCATAAAATATATCCGCACAACACTGTGTGATGAAATTGGAGGGAGCCGTATTAAACTAAATCACTCCATATTTTAAAAATGTCTCATGTGGATATAAAGTTTTCCTAAATATAAAACTTAACGGAAAATAAGCTTTTGAGTTTAGCACCATGGGAAATAATTGTCTGATTAGGACCTGACTATAATATCTGTAAAAATTATCTCCTTGTAAACACTTGCATCACTAATAAATTTCTTACTTAAGACTTGAATTAAATATATAAAGGTAATATGTTCCTGCTGAAAAATAATTTCCTAATGAGCGACTAAGTCATACAACCTATTTAGCAGAGTTATTATAGTTATTACTAATAAAATTGGCCTCCCATTTAAATGTGGAGAAGTTGCAATGGTTCCAATACCAATTATACATTATCCCTAAATTACATATTGAAACTTGGTGGAATTATGCCAAGATGTAATCAGAAGGAATCATGAGGTGAGCAATTTTCAGAGCTCAATTTAATTCAACATCTTTTTAACTGTATCTTCCAAGATTATAATTACACTGAGCAATTGGTTTGATTGAAGGGGGGAAAATCATACTGCTTCATTGACCACCACTTTACATACTTGTTTGAATGGTACTGCACATGATATAATTTGTAATAAGTTCAATTATGAGGAGAGCAGCAACACAGATTTTTTTTTAATTCTAGTGGAAGTAACATAAAAAGTCAAAGAGCCTTCTTTCTAAAACTCAGTGCCACAGGACACATCTATTTCTTCAAATTCTTCGTGGCAATTCATGTACTGGTTGATCGCAGAGATTACGGGCTATTGACTAGAATGAAAGCTGAATTTCCGGATTTGTCCCTTTCCATCTCTGGGATGTTAGGCAAGATGCTTAGCAGATACTGCTTCTTTATATCTAAAGTGGGAATTATGGGCTGTCTTTATAGGATTATTGGGAGAATGGTACATATACACACTACACACACACACACACACACACACACACACACACACCATATACACTGTATACGTGACTGTGATATATAGGGTTAGGAGTCAGTTCTCCATGGGTCTGCCAAATTTTTACACACATGTTACAGTTTTTGTTCCAGATAATCTTTTCAAGAATATTTGTAGAGCACACAGCCTTGAAAATTAGTGATAACATTCCCCTCTGGAACAGAGGACAGATTTGTCTCCTGATGAGCATAATAAAGACATAGCCTCCCTTTAGGTTAAAGGAAGGAAGACACTGTTAGCAGTCCTCTTAGAACACTGGGAGTCTCTTCATCTCCACGTTCTCCAGTGTGACACAAACCGTGTGTACGGCACCTACATGCATCCGTTCAGTGTCACCTCCCTCCATGGAACTGTAGGACAAGGGAAAGCCAGGTGGATGTCATGCTCATGTTGCCTCCTGTGCCATGAGGAACAGAGGCCTTGTCTCTCACCCAGCATTCTGGATTCCGCATTCTGCCCACAGCCATGAAACAGTGACCGGTGAGCTTACTGTAAGAAGGGTGACTGTGCCCTTCACAGTCCTTGACACCTAGCATGAATCCGGGCACTTGACACTGCTTCTGGCCATTGTGAATTATGTAATTTTTAAAATACTGGCATGTAAAAAGGAAAAATAGCAATAGTCATACTTTATGTGTAAACTGTTTACTGTCAGGGAAGCATTTGTTAAATGAAATGCTACTGCCATGCGTATGATTACTACACCTTGCCCAATGTCTTATTTCCTCCTTATATCTTTCCTTCACTTGCATCCAAAAAAAAAAAAAAAAAATTGAAGAGGAGACCAAGGCACTTGGGCACTTCCTGGTTAAGGAATCTGGGTCTTTTCATATTGGTGTAAAGCAAGAAAATTAGGGGTTGAAACCCAGTCACCACACATCTGGCATGCAAAACATGTGAATCTCTCTTTATTTTTGTAAATATTTATTTACTTATTTAAAGAAAGACAGAGAGTGTGAGTGATATGTATGGGGGAAGGGCAGAGAGAGAGGGAGTGAGAATCTCGAGCAGGTACCACACCATCAGCACAGAGCCTGGAGTGGGGCTTGATTCTATGAATGTGAGATCATGGCCTGAGCCAAAATCAAGAGTCAGAAGCTCAGCCTCCTGAGCGCCCCAGGTGTTCCTGAAAATCTGTCTTTAATTAGCTACTGGGATGGAAGGAATACAATGTTTTTGGTAGCTTTTTCTTTAAAGAGAATCAGGACAGTAATTGTCATTTAAAAACAATATATAAGTAATAGGCAAAATATTTTAACTAGGTCTTTCTTTCAGTAATTTATGCAATTATGAATGACATCCTTCATTTCATGATCATATTATAATTGGCAATGTCACCACTACCATTTTAAAATAAATTTAAAAGAAATAGTTCACACATAATTCTCCTTCAGATAATTCTCTTTCTGTTCTGGTTTTTTTTTTTTTTTCTTGTTTAAAAATAACAAATAGCAGAATCCCCTCTTCCTTCCTTCAGGGGACTGAAGAACCTCTGTTTCTCTGCTGGGAGCAGAGATTCACATCAAGAGTGCAGTAATTCTTTCATTAAAGTGTAAGCAATGCTTCTCCTTTTTTTCATTAAGAGATGCCTTTGGCAGGAAATAGACCAGGATTTGGCTATACCAGAGCACGTTTTAAAGGAGCAGCAAACACACACAGCTGCCTGTCACTGCCTACCTGAAATATAAAGATGCATCTTTAATACCTAAATTCTTACCCACTGCCCTTCTCCCTAAGCATTAGAAAAGTGATGATGATATCCAAAGATGAGTATGGATTATTTCGAAGATAATGTTTTGAGGTTCAATAGGAAGATAAGCTCCAAAATTCACTATAGCAACCATCTTTATTTTTCTCCAGATTAAACTTGAGAGAGCTCAAGAATGAAACTTTAAAAAAAAAAAAAAAGGCAAATCACATATTCAGCACCAACCTGAACTTGTTTCATTAGGACCTGTGGGATGGTTTGCGCAGTGACATTTGTATGCAGAGTTATTACAGAGTCTTTGTAACCATCATTCAAATTTGATTTTACCTTTCCAAAGGACCTTTTGTTTTTCTTCACTGGAACAAAGGACAAACTAGTGTAAGAGAACTAACAAAGCTTATATTGAAAGTGAGTTACTCTGAAAAGCAGAAAAACAACCAATGAGTATGAGTCATCAACAATCTTTCTCTCCAACATTGTTCTAAATGGTCACCATGATTTGGTTTGGAAATGAACACATCAACCAATAAGAGGGACTATGCTGGGGGGATTTCCAAGAATGGATTTCTTTTTTGTAAATGAAGAAGTAAATAGACATTAAGAACAGATCTCTTTTTCCTTTTGGAGGTAGTCATGTCTGCGTGTGATGCTGAGCATGGCTGAAGAATCCTGAGATCATGAGACAGTGAGTAAGATCCACAGAGCACAGCAAAGCAGAGATGGGAAAGTATGGGCCCTCAGGTCAGTCAAACCGCTGGAACAATGGACTTCTCATAATGTGGTATGCTTTATTTTGTTGTGGTTTGTTTTGTTTTGTTTAAGCCAGTTTGAGCCATCCAGTTGAAAAATATCATTGTCAAAATGCCATCTAAGGTCTCCTTAGTGTCTGATTGTACAGACTCAGCTGTTCTACAAGACTTTCAATAACGTTATGAAAGGACTTAGATGGAAGTGGATTAGATAATATTACAAATTTATTTCAATCTTAGGATTCTCTTCTTATCCTATAATTCTATGTGTATCACTATTTTTAATGAATGGAGTTGACTGTAAAAGAAAAAAGAAAATTACCTCATTTAATATATACCATATGCTAGAAACTTAATATCTACTCTTTTATTTTTTTTTTATAATTTCATAAGGTAAATTTTATTGATCCCCATTTATGGATTAGGAAAGAAGTTGAAAGATTCAACCAACTTGCCCAAGATTACATAACTAAGTACAGAATAGAGTCCGGATTTAACCACAGTTGGTCTTTCTCCAACATTTTTGGGGTTTTTTTCCAGTATAATATCTAATGATATTATATCTTTGTAATATTTGCAAAGCTAGATGCATGAATGAGGGGGATGAGGTTAGCAAAGCTATGTAAATAAAATGATGAACCAGTAGTTTGTGCTTTGCATAATTGATTTTGCCTCAGTAGTGTTTGACTTCAATCTAAGGTCTTGTGAAAATGGAATAATAACTTATTTTCTAGTGTCAAGTGACATTTATACACATATTTGAAGATAAACTGTTGTGGGTTTGGAGCAACATAACATTGGATGTCAGTTCTAGACAGAAGTTAAAAATAATTCAAACTTAGAATGTCTCAGTAATTTGCATTATTATTGATGGGACTAAATGAGGGTGTGGACATCTGATTTAATGTTTTTGATTCTGTTCCGAAATATCAGAGTGTGCCAATAAACCATACATTGGTTTTGCCATTTGCTTTTGATATGGGGACTGGAGCTGTGGAGTTAAAAGTGTTTACTGATCTCATCCATTAAATCATGAGGAAAGAAACATACCCTGCAGTCTCTTCTGCATAATGTTATTGCCATGTCTGGAGAGCAAAGAAAGAGTACTCACAGAGGAGATATATGAACACGACCCATCTCTGCCTTCTGCCAGATCTCTCCAATCCTCAGCCTACACTGAGGCCACAAAATGGTTGAGAAAACCTCAAAATGATGACTAAAACTGGGGTGGAAAGTTACATAATGTAAGAATAAATAATTAGAGCAATTAAAATATTGCCTTCAGTGCTGATTTTTATTATTACTATAACCAGCCTGTAGGGGAAAATTAAATATAACTATTAGTAACTTTGATGCAGATTTCTCTGAAATATATTGTCCATATATTATATGATATGGTAATTTCTCCATGGAGGTATTAAGAAAGAAACATGTTAATTATTCGGTAATTCAAAATTGTAAGTAGAAAAGAATTAGGTATTAAAAACCTCATTTATAAGTTTGTGTGCATTTAGAATTCAAGGAAAAAATAATGATGCATTATAAATGTTTTATTTAAAGAAAATTAGAGGCAGATGGTCTGTACAGTGGAAGTGATCTACCTGGATATTGACTTGGTGTTATGTTTCTTGTCCACTGTGACTGCTACTACATTATGCATTGTGATGCTTGGTTGTATTGTGTTCTCAATTTGTGTATGTCTTGTTTTGACAAAAATTGTGAGTAATTTGGTGGTAGTCAATCGGCCATGTAATTAAACTCCCTCCCCCCAAAACTAAAAAACTCTTAGACTACCACAGAAGAAACTCAACAACACTAAAATCATCCAGCGCTCTACTAAATGTTTCATTATAGTTATGTTTCAGGTTAATGCTAACCTATATTTTCTAGAATTCCAGGCAAAGACAACATAGTTGGCTAAAATCAAATCAAACCAAACCAAAGAGTCAATTACTGATACTTGGTCATATTTCCCTTGCAGTGCATATTTTTTTAAACATGAATACTGGAGGCTAATGGACAAAAACAAATATTATCAACCAATCAATCAATCAGCAGGAGTGGATTAGTTGAGTATCTGCTATGTTTTCAGCACTGAGTAGATACTCAATATCCCCCTGGTCAATTGATTGATGTTTTTTTTTTCTCCACCACCATCAGTAATTGATTCTTGTTTTCATGTCCTTTCATTATTTTTTCTAATAAGGAAATAATGACAATTCATTTTAAAACAGTGCTTAAATTTAGTACAGGTATAAAATATGATAAAGTTCTGATGATTAAGTTTAACTTTTACTTTTAAAAATTGTCATCAAAACTGTTGTGAATAAATTGCCACTAGGGAGTTAATCTTTTAGCTGTGAAACAGCTAATTGAGTAGCAAATACTTCAATAGGCTTCATCTTACTTGTTTTGTGTTCCATGTGCTCTAATACGGTCAAAGTTTAACTACACTTGAATATTTGTGCCTCAAAACTTAAATTCATGAAGTTCATAAATTCATAAATATCATAACATAAGAGCTATTCAATGTGAAGTCATTAATATTTAAATGTGGGGGTTAGTGGCCGAATCTTTTCTTTTTCATGATTACGGCAAAGTACTGAGCTGATCATCTTAAAGTAGATTCTAAAATTCACAAATTGGCATATTTACATGTTAACAGCTAGAGAACCAGAGCTCATAGCATCTACCAAAGACAGAAGGATGGGGCTTTTGTAAGAGTCTGTTATGTCGCAGAAACACCTAGACCAGTGTGCTAACAACCTGATGCACAGCCCAAAGAAAAAACTGATTAAAAAGGCAGAAGACAAGAAGGAGGAGACTTGTATGTTAATAAGCTGCACCTAGGTGGATGCAGAAGGTCCTGAGGACTTCTTGGCATCTTGACACTCCCTGATGGCCATGCTCTTACCTACAGTCTGGACAGGGGACAGGCAACTGGACGTGGCTGACAAATGGGCCAACTACATTTTTATAGCAATAATATATAAATGGTCACTGAATAGTTTTCAAAATACCACCTCCCCCCCTTATTTTTCTGAATTATAGCACTAAACAAGGGAATAACTTTGCTCTGGCCTCAAACTGTAACCCTGAGAATATTTAATGGCGGGAAATTTGTCATTAATGTGAAAATTTTAAGCACATAGGGAAAAAAATCATGAGATTAAATACAAGTAAAGTCAAACCGTAAAATATTTTGTTGATCATTCCTTAAAAAAATCTTTCCTGTAAAAATCTTTGTTGATCTGTCCTAAAAATCCTAGAATATTTTTAGTATAAAGTTACACAGGCTTTTTACCGTTATAGTTTGATTTTAAAGATTCAAAAACTGTTTTCCAACTTTACCTATGTGCTCAAATGCCATCTGTGTATGTTATGATTAGTTTACTTGCAAAATGCATTTCAAGTTAAGTTCTTCTTAAAGGAGATATATGACACAAATGTGTTAAGCTGAGAAGGCTCTGTTTCTATTTTAAAAGGATATTAAATACAGTAAAGCCCCCCCACCTTTGTAAGAAACCCAGAGAATAACTATTCCACAACCCCAAACAAATAAGTCCTTTGGTCTTTACAAATTTTTGAAAATGGTATGAGAGCTAATGCCAGGTACTTTTTATGAAAAGCTGCCACCCAGTGGACATTTTATGTAAAGTTAGCTTCTTGTTTAATACCTTGACAGACAAGATGTTTAAAACAGTTGTCTGTAAACTGTCTTAACAATTACATTATAAGTGGCAACCTAGTAATAATAGCTAAAGACAAATTGGCAGGAAAAAAGTTTAAAGGCTTCTTAAAATCTGCCGGTAAAATAATGCTATGATCACGAATGTTTGTGTATTTTACAATTTGCCAACCAGTTCAGTGTCATCAATTGTATTATAAGCAAAATGTTACTGTATAAAACTTAATGTAAAATCTATGTCCTTACTATCAGTTACCTTATTCATAAAATAGAGACATTATCAATAGTATCTCCTTCACAGGGCTGTTGTGAGGGGTAAAGGAGCCAATATAGGTAAAGCTTTTAGAACTGCAGTTAGCAATGAATTGCTGCACTGTCACTGGTTTTATTATTCGATCAATGATTTCCAACCAGGTGAGACAAGGCCCTCCCTGGGCCTTATCAGATTTGCTTGAGGAACCTTCAAATTAAAGCCATTTCCTCCTTTCAAGGTCCTCCTTGGTACCTATGGGTCACGCTCCCATCACCAATCCTTTTCCCTCCTATACTTACCTACTGATTCAACCCTCACAAAGCTCTTTCCTGATAGCAAACAGGCTGATACATGTATATCACTGAAAAGAAATTGTTCAGAACCCTGATCTGGGGCTCCTGGGTGGCTCAGTCAGTTAAGCAACCTACTCTTGATTTTGGCTCAGGTCAGGATCTCACGGTTCATGGGACTGGGCCCCACATCAGGCTCTGTTCCAACATTGTGAAGCCTGCTTGGGATTCTCTCTCTCCTTGCTCTGCCCCTCCCTCTCCTCAAAATAAATAAATAAACTTAAAAAATTTTATTTAACTTGTGGGAGTATTAAAATAAAAGGTGAGACAATTTGTAAATGCTTCAAAGAGGATGTATAAGTTTCCTATTACTGCCATAACCAATTGCCATAAACTCAGTGGGTTAAAACAACACAAACTTATAAATCTGGAGATCAGAAGTCTGTGGGTCTCATGGGGCTAAACTCAAGATGTCAGCAGAATTGTGTTTCTTCTAGAGGCTCCTTGCCTTTTCTGGCTCCTAGAAGCAGCCCGCATTACCTGGTTTACGGCCCTTTCTTCTGTCTTCAAAGGTACCAATTACATCACTCCGACCTCTGCTTCTGTCTTCATATCTTCTCTGATTCTCTTGTCTTCCTTTTTCAATTATAAGGACACTTGTATTACATTTGTCCCACCCAGATTCTCTAGGATAATCTCCTCATCTCAAAATCCTTAATTTAATCATACAAAATCTCATATGCCATGTAAGGTAACATGTTCTGGACTTGGATACATTTGAGGGGCCATTGTACCACATCCCACTAAGGTAAACTATTTCCACAGACAGCAGGAAGAGCAATTAGCAATCGAAACTCCTGGGAAACAGAAACTAACATGATTTCATGAAGGACTCCATGGAAATTATCAATAGTTGAAAACAGCCCAATCACCTGCACATATAGTGAAAGGGAAATTAATAGACAATTTGTTGCTCAAAACATCACAATAAAGAACTTATTTCAAAACATTCTGTAAACCAGTGTGGTAACATAGAACCAGTTCTACCACTTTCTAGCTGTGTGACCTTGGGAAATTTACTTAAAGCCTCTTTGGTTTTCCTCACCTGTAAAACGCTGTAGAAATACTATGTGTAGAGTAAGCCTATCTTATTGCCTGACAGAGTCACCCAAAGAAACTGTTTGGTAACTGAATTCAAAATAATTTCAGGTAGATTTTCAATGCTACTGATAGAAGTTTCTGTACATTCCAGGGAGCAATGTGAGTGGATATTAAATCTTCATTCTTATCAGGTTCTTCTTACTTCGCATTTGTATTAGTTTTGTCCCTATAATAGCAAGGCAGTGCCACAGAGTAAAGTGAGCCCAGAGTAATTCCCAACAGCAATAATAAGATTATCAATAGCTATCAAGCAGCAAGTGCTCAACATTATGCCAGACATTGGTCTAACTGTTTTACAGTTGTCATCTCTTTTAATCTTCACAATGAATGACCCTATCAACCTATAGTTGGTAATTTGTCATTATCTGGACAGGACCCTTCTCATATTAAGACTACTGATTCATTGGCATGTTACTCATAATTGGTTTGTGCATCAAAATGAAAAAAAATGGACTGAAATGGAATGTCATACAACTTCAGGAACTGTCTGAAATCATTTTGCCTAAAATGAGTCACTGAGAAAAAGTGCCTTACATAAATCCACTTGCCTGCATAATCCACTTTACAGTATATTTTATTTTTTTAAACCTCTTAAAATGTTTGCAGGCAAAAGCCCCAAAGGCAGAAAGATAACCTAAATTTCAGACGTCAAACCAACAGTATGTGTTCAAAGCAGGTTTGGTAATCTTTCTCTCTTACTTGGACCCAGACTTTGAAAGGTTGCATCTGTTTGGTAGATAGAACACCTAGCGGCCTCCAGATGAGTCATCTGTCCAAGTGCTGCTTCACGTGAACTGAATTAAACAGAGACCAGGACTGGATATGCTGTCGTCTGACAGGTGGACGAGAGTGAGGGAAAACTGCAGTGTAAACACCATCGATAGGGATGAGCCCCAGGAGAGTCTAATACACCTTTTGCAACATGGATCAGAAGTTCTGACCCTTATTGTATATCAGTGAACAAATCAAAGAAAGAAAAAAAATGAAAATATGTACCTTCTCCTCAGGGAGCGCTTAAACCAAAGTGAACTAGAAAAGTAGCAATATACATGGTGTTCTGAAGGCCAGTAATTGTGATAATTTTTAACACGGGAATTCCTGTCACTGCAAAGGACACAGAAAATGGCCACAGCATTACAAACTTTCTTTTTCATTAATCTGATAAAAAAAAGAGACTGAAGCATGGTGGTGTTTTAAGAAATATTATTTAGTATGAATTAAAATGAACCCTCATAAACTCTAAACAAAAATATTATCAAAAAACTTGTGAGCACCTTTAAAAAGATCATGAAAAGCATAAAACATCTCCTTCAACATTATCTACTTTATATCAATTATAAAAATTAGTTGGAAGAGTCCCCCAAATGTGCAGGCAAAGTAAATAATGGACTGAGGTGTGATTTGAGTATCATAGAACAATCAAACTGAATAAAATTTAGTCCTAAAAGTAGCTGTGATATAGAAAACTATGTTCACACAGTTAGTTCTTTGAAAGCCTTCTGGAAGCATGTGCATATTTACTGGATTAAAACTAACATTTCTTTGTATCTTCACCTACTACCACTTAGCAATGGGCATTCTTTAAGGAATGGGAAAACAAAACAGGTATGATTTCATAGGGAAAAGAGTAAGAATGCAGTAAGGAAATGGACAATGTGAGAAGTATTTACGGGGCTGGGGGTCTCTCCGTATTGGCTCCTAAAATTGAAAGTTCTCAGCTGAAATGTTTTATTTGCTCACCTATTTAGCACAGCACTTAAAAGTAAAACTCAGTAATGTTTGTGAAAATGAATAATAATCATGATGATGGTGATGATAAAAATAGTTAACATGTGAATACTTATTATGTGTCAGACATTATCTGCAGTGCTTTATATACTTTTTGAATTCTTTTAATATTTTGAACTACCCTGGAGCTAAGTATTGAGGTATATAGGAAAGTTCAAGACCGTGTCCACCAATGTTATGCAACAAGCAGGTATGAGAGCCAGAATTCAAAAGGAGGCACTTGGACTCCAGCTCTGGTTAGAAGGGAAGGAAGGTGAGAGGATGGAAAGAGGAGAAAAAAAGGGATGGAGGGAGAGTAGGAATGAAAGAAAAAAAACGTAAAAGGGAAAAAGAGAGTAAAAAGAGAGAGTGGGAGTTTTGCCAATTCTCTTTGCCTCTGATAGCCCCCAGTCAGCATTGAAGCAATGACTCCTCATTGGAAAACTGAGAGTCACCCCGATGGGCAGATGGAATTTGAAAGACAAAGGAAGCAGAATAAAGAGGAGATACCTAGGCAGATACCCTACACACCGGAGTTAAACAAAACAAAACAAAACAAAAAACAACAATAACTCAAGAACTGAAGGGTACTTGACTCTGTCTTAGAGCCGGTCAGGCTCAGCATCACCTCTTTTGCCCTTCAGGTGGGAAAGGAGGTGAGGAGATTGAAAGCACCCGTGCAATTCCTCAGGGAAAGGAATGTCTCCCATTCGACTGACATCAAGTAAACTATTGAACCGGAAACACTTACTTTACTTAGAAGGTAAGAGGTATAGTTCTGTTTTCTGGTGAGCAACATTTTATGTCTCCTTACGATGGAGGGTGGTTGAAGCCTTTCTTCTTCCAGTTCTTTTCAAAGACGTTTTTGATATGTATTGCAATCTAAGATCATCCTGGGGAATGACTTCAAATTAATTGTGCCATCTCTCACCAGTTCATAATTTTGCATAATTTAACATAATTAGCTTAAGTGCTCTTTCCTATGGTGCCAAACGCTGGGATACGATGTAAGTAGGTAGAGTGGAAGGCTGACTTTCTAACTATGAAACTGCAGCTGTTAAAGCCATCTGACCCTCCAAATAGCTCTTCCGTCCACTTGCTGAAGTTTGAAATTTTTTCTTTAGCAGAAAAAAGGCCACTTGTTTCTAGGCAAAATAAACAGTATAAAGTGTAAGTCCCACCAAAAGAGGCAAACCATGGACTTAAAATTACACTAAGTGTAAACAACTGGCACTAGCTTCTTTTGGGGTTTGCACGTTTTGAGTGTGATGGAACAGAGCAGAAGAGCCCTGGGGCTACAGGCGTGAGAAGGGCATGGGCAATAGGGTAGAGATGAATAGAGCAAAACAGAGACCATGGAAGTAGGGCAAAGGCCATCTACTACCCAATTTTTCCTAAACTCGGTTTGCACCCAGATAAACACCATCTCCCGATCCTCAGATGGCAAATGCATGCAGAATAGAATATGTGGTTATGAGCTTGAACTATGATCCAAAACTTCTGGATTTAAAACCCTGTTCTGTCAGCCAGGTTTGGGAGGTGAGGCAGATTCCCCTCTCTGTTTCAGTAGGTTAGTCATAGCGGTACAGGAAAGTCCTGGATTGCGAGTAACTTCTCCTACCAGTGTTCCAACAGACAAGCAAACCTGTCTAATAAATTTTAACTTGATAAGCAAGCGATGTCTTACTATACAAGTAGTACGTGATGCCAAACATCACATGATCCCAACTGAGCCAATGGTCCTTCTCTCTCTCTCTCTCTTTCTCTCTCTCTCTCTCTCACTCTCTCTGCTGGATTGTGGGTGATCATCTCCCATGCTCAGATGCTGTGGTGTTTGGCAGAAATCAGTGATTTTTCAGAACTTTGGAAGGTGCCCACAACTGGCAGTAGTGTACTTTTTTGTCACTTCAAAACACGTATGGACAGTCCTTTGCTTTTCCATACAAGCATAAGCTTAGGAATGCTTTGCTTCATTCTAGGTTATTAGATAGGTTCCTTGTTAAACTTGCAGGGAAAGAAAAAGATTCCATTGAGCCAGCAGATAGCAGTGATTCCACTAGTGACAGTGAAAGTCATCCTACATAATAACCCTCCTCCCTTGTCTCCCTCACAGCAGCCATGAAGGTTTTCAAAAGTAAGTTCAGGTTAATTTGTTTATTTTTCTTTGTATATTGTATTTTCTTTATTATTTTGTATTATAGTACAGTACTGTAATCATTTTTATATGAATATTTTGGGGTTATGGAGCAAATCATCTGAGTTTCCATTAGTTCTTATGGGGAAATTCACTTCGATATTTGAGTGCTTTGGATTACAAGTATGTTTCCAGAATAAATTATGCTTGCAAACCCAGGTTTTACAATAGTTCAGAGGGTTGCTGAGAGGATTAAAATAAATACATTTAGCATCTAGAAAAGTGCCAACACATACTAGCTGCTTGACTAGTATCAGCTATCACTATTGCCCTTATTACTTAACAAAACAGAAATTATTTAGAGAGAATTATTATCTTGACTTTTTCTAAGTATGTCTGATGAATAAAAGGAAGAGCTTCTCATAGGTAACACTTCACTAAGTATTTCTTTTGGTTTCATTAAATCAAATAGTTCTAGTACTAATAAGCACAAAATAGAAAAAGTAGGATTGTTTTTCTTTAAATATTTGTTCTACTGGATGCCAAGTTTATGTCAAGTACACTTAGAGGCTGTTTACTGATCAAAAAGATGTTAATTTAATCACAGATTGTTCTGAAGCTGGAAAATGAATAATGACTCTATGTCACCAGGCATTTTTAAAATTATTTAGAAGTTACAATTATTGACATATGAGTCATTAAAAAAATAGAACTTTTGTCTTTTTTAGGTAATGACTTTCTATGATTTGGCTAATGTAAATGATCATCCTCCAATTCAATTTTGTTCTGCTTGCATCATTCATTCTGACACTACTGAATGCTAAAAGAAAATATGAAAATGAACTACTCATAGAATGAATGCAAAACCACTGACTTTAGAGCTACAAGGGACCTTGGAAGTCATACAGACTTCAATCCAGAGAAGCCAAGGGTTTTGAGCAAGGTGCCACATCTCCAGGAAAAGGAAACAGTTCTTACATATGACTTTGTCTTTTTACACACACAACCCTACATGTCCAGGAGATTTCTTAGAAAATGTGCTCCTGAGAACCCAGGTGGCAAACATCTCCCTTGCGGACTTTCCTCTAGAGTACACAGACGTCACAACGCGGTAGGTGGAACAATGCTCTGCTTGTTGCTACTCAGATGTTAGCTCTTTAAAAAGTCCTTTCCTGACCTCACTGTCTAAAATTCACCACTGGCACCACCACTGCAAAGCCACATTGTCTTTCACCCCATAACCTGCTTAGTTTTTCTTCAAAGCACATTTATGATACAGAATTATCATTGTTGTTATTGTTATTGGAAATTGGCTGGCTGATTGGTTAATTTATTTCTCATTGCTCCCATGAGAATGTAAACCTCAGGAGGTCAAGAGCTTTATTTCTCTTGTTCACATGGCATCCCAGGTGCCAGGACAATACCCAGCATATCTTAGATGTTCAGAACACTAATCCCACCTTGACTAACATCCTGAATGGGGATATATAACCTACACTTCAGTGTATAGCCCAGACAACCCAGACAACCCAGTTGATTTGGGGACTCTAGAAGACAGAGTCTTTCTCTGGATCCATAAGTAACAGGAATTAAATAGGCAGAGGGCTGTCTGTGGCCAGCTCTTCCCCAACTAGGGGGAAAATGTGAGAAAGTTTCCAAGAAAAATTAAGAGCCAAAAGATGATGGGGAGAAAGTTACTGATAACATGACCCACATGTAGGGGAGGCAATACTTTACCCCTCCCCCTCTTAGGTTTTCAGTGGATACTCTTTAACAGGAAGGTTGATTAGAGAAAAACAAGCAGTTCATTAATGTGTGCAGTGCACATCAGGTGGGAGAAACCTGAAAGAAAGGAACTCAGAATGATGGCTTAGTTTCCACCTTATGCAGCATCTTCAACACAGAACAATACATTGTAGAGAAATGACAAAACAAAGCACTGAGTCACAAGCTCCCAAGGATGCCAGACCCAGGGAAGGTAAACACAGGTGACCCTTGAACAACACTGGTTTGAACTGCATGAATCCAGTTGTACTGGGATTATTTTTATACACATAAATATAGTATGGTACTATGAATGTATTTTCTCTTACATTTTTCTTAATAATGTTTTCTATTCTTTAGCTTACTTCATGGTAAGAATAGTATATAATACATACAACATACACAGCATGTGTTAATTGACTGTGTGTGTTATCAATAAGCCTTCCATCAATGGTAGGCTATTATTAGTTAAGTTTTGGGGGAGTCAAAAGTTACGTGCAAATTTTCAACTGGAGAGAGGCTGGTGACCCTAACCCTGCACTGTTCAAGTGTAAAATGTATATGGGAGAGAATTAATAAAGTTAAGTTTTATTTGCAGACTCCTCTGGAGGATCTCTGGGCTGATCCGAGTGTCACCAGTAAAAGGAAAATTGTTTCCTGTCTTGAGGCAGAAAAGGGGAAGCTTTTTGTGAGTTTGCGGCTTCTTTCTCTTTTTAAAGTTTACTTTTTGAGAGAGAGAGAGAGTAGGGAAGGGGTAGAGAGAGAAAGAGACAAAATCTGAAGCAGGCTCCAGGCTCTGAGCTGTCAGCACAAAGCTTAATGTGGGGCTTGGACCCACAGACTGTGTGCAAGGTCATGACCTGAGCTGAAGTTGGATGCTTAACCAACTGAGCCACCAGGCACTTTGTGAGTTTGTTGCTTCTTAATTGCCTTTGCCTCAAAATAATTTTTATGTCAAAGAGGCATACTTTGGAGTGTCATATGCTGGTTTCCTTCATTTATCCCTGACTTAATTAGACCTAGATTTATTCACAGTTCCACAGGCCCTAACATTTCTTCATTTGCTTACTTCCTCTAAATCCTGTTCCTGTCATTTGCAACTGAAAAGCTCTCAACTGTAGAAATTATACAAAGAACAATTACAGTGCCCCAGCCCTGTTCTGTGTTCTTACTGTGATATTTTGTCTGATGTAATTTTGAGATTTCTCTTAATTAACTTTGGGGTTTTTTAATTACAAGGGAACAAAATCAAAAGAAGGAACACTTATTAATCGCCAGGACGAATTATTTATTACTGAGGCAATGTCTGGAAAAATCAATTTACTGAAAATGTTTCCCACAGGTTTGCAGATTTAGCAATTTACAAAAACTACTATAATTCACACAAGGAGAACATTCATTGTGTTTCCAATAACTCATTTTGATAAATTTGGCCCTGACTGTGTCGAATTTTGTAGAGAAGTATGAGTTTAAAACTCAGAGTACATAGGCCTTATTTCTGATAATGACCCACCCATTGATATAAAAGCTGACGATATATGGCATCTAGAGGCTGTCTGGGTACCAGTGTGTGTGTGTGTGTGTGTGTGTGTGTGTGTGTGTATGTGCAAAATCAAGATATGTTTGGGAGTTAGGTTCTTGCTACTTAAACAAAAGGATAAGGATATTGGAAAACAAGTAGCATATCTTGCTGGAAATGAAAAAGTTAAAAAACAAACAAACAAACAAAAAACCTGCCACTCCTAAACCAGGTGATGGTCCTGTAGAGGGACCATCTACCACAAAGTGACATTGGCCCTCATGTGAAGTTAGATCTGAAATCCATACGATATACATCAGAGAATAACTTAAGGTTGTAAAATCCAATATTCTACTTTTTTTATTTTGAAGTTTTCAAAAGGTTCAGTTTATTTATTTTTCAAGGTGTTAATTCAATTTGGTGACACAATCCTAGTATGAGAGGGAATTTTTAAAAAAAAATTTTAACATTTATTTATTATTGAGAGACAGAGAGAGACAGAGCATGAGCTGTGGAGGAGCAGAGAGAGGGGGAGACACAGAATCCGAAGCAGGCTCCAGGCTCTGAGCTGTCAGCATAGAGCCCAACACGGGGTTCAGCCTTACAAACCGCGAGATTATGACCTGAGCCGAAATCAGATGCTTAACCAACTGAGCCACTCAGTCGCCCTGAGAGGGAATTTCTTACAAATATTCTTATAAATATCTTCCTATTTTGGCTGAAGGTGGTAATGAGGCAATATCATTGTATTATAGAACTAATAGATAGTCAGTGTACAGGTAAGTGTGTGTATACAAGCACATGCATGTGCATATAGGTATGTGAAGATGTGTATGATGGATTCATGAAGAACATAAGTTGCTTCTTGTATTTACTCTAAGAAGTCAGTGTCTAGATTTATAATTTATATATTAAAGGAAAATTTAAGATGTATATTTCTGATTGACTTAATCTATGAAAAATTTGTATCATAAAAACTATTCCAATTTCAAGCTGCTTTTAAGATCCATTTTGGGCTTTTATCCTCTCAACTAAGAATAGTTTTCTAAAAACAAAGAGAATTTAGAAAGTTCAGTCTAAAATGTGGGAGCCATGAGGCTCTTGGCAGCACTTGCTTTGGAACAATGTCCTTTTCTTCCTTGCTACAAATGAATGGTTTAAAAGATTTAGTTTAATTTGGAAAGGCCTGTTTTTCCTTATTTGAGGGCTAGCCACTTGACTAATGAGAGTTTGACTGGATGTTTATGTTGCACTATAGAAAATAGTCCTGAACACTGCACAGAGAAGAGCGGCGCAAATATGGAAAGGAAAGGGAGACGGTCCACGTGTCTAAACCTATACACACTAGGTCCACATTTAAGGCAAATGGGTATTGGCTAAACATTAATGAGTGTTTGCAAAAACTTCATCAAATATATGGTAAAGATTTAAAAAATAATCAGAAGGATCCATATGCTGGCTCATAATTAGTGCTATGTAAGCACTGAATTCCACTAAGTCTGTCTCAGAGTACTTGTTAAAATGCTTCACAGGAACAGATGGTTGGGTCTAGAAAGGAAGGGCAAAGTTCAAATACTGACAGAATATCTCCTTATGATTCATCCACTCGCATTGTCCTGGGTCATGTCTCCATCTCTTACCTGATATAACGTAGCAGCCTCCTAGCAAGACACCCACCACCAATCTCTCTTCTAACCAATCTTTTCTCTATTCTGCTGCCATACTGATTTTTCTAGCATTCACATTTCATCTTACTATGCATCTTTACAATCTTTTAATTATTGCCACAATCTATAACATTATGTCAAAATATCCAGCTTGGAGGCAGGCACCTGGCTGGCTCAGTCGTTTGAGCGTCCAACTTCAGCTCAGGTCATGATCTCATGGTTCGGTTTGTGGGTTTGAGCTCCGCGTCGGGCTCTGTGCTGATGGCTAGCTCAGAGTCTGGAGCCTGTCTTCAGATTCTGTGTCTCCCTCTCTCTATGACCCTCGCATGCTTGCACTGTCTCTCTCTCTCTCAAAAATAAATTAAAAAAATAAAAAATTTTAAAAAACAAAACAAAATATCTAGCTTGGCATACAAGATCTTATAGTACGTCTCCTACTTATTTATTCATTTTTCCTTTTTACCATTCCCAGAGCCACCCTACTCTGGACAATGAGCATGTGTGAGACAATAGAAAAAAAAATATATATATATATGGGGGTGGGTGGGTGGATGGGTCTCTGCCTCTAATTCCTAGCACTGAAGTTCTAAAACCCTTCTAATTTCTTGGGTCACAGGAATGTTTTTTGGTTTTTTTTGGTTTTTTTTTTGTTGTTATAATAAGGGGACTCTTGATGGGCTCCTGGATGATTTCTGAATAAGGGTGATCACTAGAAAGGCAAAGCCAGGATTAGAAGCTTTGAATTTTTAGCTCCACCCCACACCCTCCTGAGAAGGGAGAGGAGCCAGCAATAGAATTAAAGATTGATCAGGCCCTCATGACAAAGCCTCCATAAAAATCCCAGAGAGCTCCCAGGTTGGTGAACATATCCACCTACTAAGAAGGTGATACATTCCAACTCCACAGGGATGGAAGCTCCTGGGATCGGTACCCTCCCAGACCTCACCTGTGTACCCACTCATCTGACTGTTCATCTGTATCCTTTATTATATCCTTCAATAAACTGGTAAATGTAGGAGTTTATCTAAGTTCCATCAGCTGACCTAGCCAATTAATTGAATCCAAGGAAGGGGATAGTGGGGACCTCTGATTTATGGCCAAGTTGGACAGAAATGGTGAGTGACCTGGGGAACTACTGCTTGTGCTTGATATCTGAAGATGAGGGCAGTCTTGTAGGACTGAGCCTGTAACCTATGGGAACGGAGACTATCTTCAGGTAGGTGGTGTCAGAATTATAGGATGCCCAGCTGCTGCCATAGAGAACTGCATGGTGTGGAAATCCCATATACACATATTTGGTGACCAAAAGTGTTAGAAGTGAATTGTTCTGTATGAGTAGTAGAGACTCACAGGAGAAAAAACCCAAACAAACCCTGATTCTGGAGGAAGGTTTGAAGCAAAAGCTCTTTGCGTTGCAAGGGGGCAGGAGATTCCCTTAGGCTTAGGACTTTCCACAGTTAAAAAGCAAAAGCCTATTAACAGGGATATAGGCAGGGGAAAGGAGGGGGTGGTCAGGAAATTCTTTCCTGCTCAATACCTTACGTTGGAAGAAAGCTCCACCCCAAAGTCCAGGAGTATAAGACTGCTGTAAGACTGAGGACCAATCAAAGCAAATGAGAATCCCTTGCCTTTACCACAAGCCTACCAGGAGTAACAGCAATCTACTGCTGAGGAAGGATAAGAACATGGACAGAGCTCCCCTCTAAGTTCAGGCATGCAGGGATTGCTAAAAAGCAGAGGCAGAGAAAACTTAAGGAAAAAACTATGGCAGCCCAGGTCATATTGTGGCCTGAGTCAAGAGCTAGAGAAAGCCCCAGGAGTAGCCAAATGCTGTAGAAAGCTGTACCCTGTAGGTGCCCTGGATAAAATGCACTGGTTGAGCAGTGGGGGTGGGGGGTGGGTGGGGGGAATGGTGGGCTTTCTGGGAACCTGCTCCTTCATCCTGCAATGTCTCTCTAGTGCCCGCGACTGACAAAATTTAGTTTGATGCCAGCTGGTGCAGGGTGCAGATCTATTTTTATGAATGAGACAATGAAGTAAAAATTTGGAACCAAGAGGCTACAAATTAATAGCTGGCACACATGGTATATCTCTTTTATCTCTTTATTTTTATTTTATTTATGTGTTTTTATTTAAGTGGATTTCTTATAGACAGAATACACTTGGGTCTTGATTTTTAAAAACAGAATCTGACAATCTCTGAATTTTAATTGAGGTATTAGACCATTTATAGCAAATGTAATTATTAATATGGTTAGATTCAATCCTACTATTTTACTTGCTGTTTTCTAGAGAATTATTTTTTATTAGCTGTTTAATTGTTGTTTAGTTATTGGTATTATTGTTCCCTTTGCCCTTTTCTCCCACCTTTTATTGGATTAATTTTTTAATGGTTCAGTATGTTTCAATTTATTATTTATTTATGTATTAGTATATGTCAATTTAAAAATATGAACTGGGT